GAAGGGATAGAGGAGAGAGATCCCTTGGCGAAGACCGTGCCTGCTAGTTTTAATGTGGGTCCAATGGTGGGGTGCGTGCGTATTTGAGGAATTAGTGGCTCTATACTCCAAGGTAAATTGGCCAGTGGTACTTCAACAAGGGATTGTTCTATCTCGATCCAAAGTTTAGAGGGAGAGTGGTGGTTCCAATCAACTATACGGGCTAAGTGCGCGGCAATATAGTATTGGTATACATCCGGAAGCGACATCCCCCCTAAATGCTTAGGTCTCCGCATAATGTCATAACTCAGTCTCGGTGGTTTACGGAGCCAGACAAATTCCGTAAAAGCCACTCGTATACTGCGAAAAAAGGATAGGGGGATGTGTATTGGCAGTGCTTGGAGAGGGTACAGTAGGCGTGGGAGGATCGATTGTTTCAGGATATTACTGCGCCCCATCCAGGAGAAATAATTTTTGGCCCATGTAGCTAAGTCTGATTTTATATGTGAGAGTAGTGGGGGGAAATTCAAAATGAACATGTGCGAGGGATCTTTGGGAAGAAGTATACCTAAGTACTTGATGGCGTTAGGTGCCCATTTGAAAGAAAAGTTTTCAAGAACTCTACGCAGTGACGTACCCGTAAGAGATATATGGAGGGCCTCTGATTTAGTGGAGTTGATTCGAAAGTTTGAGAGGGTTCCGTAGCTCCTCAATTCCTGTAGCAGTACAGGGATTGATACATCCGGGGATGAGAGAAAGAAAATAAGATCGTCCGCAAAGGCTTATGTTCCGTCTTGCCAATTATAATACCGTGGATGTCCAAGTTAGCGCGGATCGTGTGCATTAGGGGTTCTAGAGACAGCACAAACAGAAGGGGCCAAAGGGGGCACCCCTGGCGTGTACCATTCGAGATAGAAAACGAAGGTGACAATGTGCCATTTATCCTTACCTGAGCCGAGGGGTCTGAGTATAGTGCCCTGATCCAGGATCGCATATGATCTCCCACTCCGACCGCCTCCAGCGTACCATGGAGAAACTTCCAGTCCACCCGGTCGAACGCCTTCTCCGCGTCGATGGAAAGAATTATACATGGGATGGCGTTCGATCGGGCAGAGTGGATCACTCCAAGTGCTCGTGTGGTATTGTCCCTCGCTTCCCTGGAAGGAATGAATCCGGTTTGATCTGGATGAATAAGTTCCCCCAGATGGGGGATAAGACGTAGGTATAGGATTTTAGCAAAGAGTTTAGTGTCCACATTCAGGAGTGATATTGGCCTGTAGCTGGGGCATAGGGACGGGTCCTTTCCTTCCTTAGGTATTACCGTAATGTAGGCCCTGAGGGAGTCAAGCGGAGGTTTTTGAGCTGTGCGTAATGAGTTCAGGGCGTTCAAAAATGGAGTTACTAGTATAGGAAGGTACCGTTTGTAATAAGTCAGCGAGTAGCCGTCTGGGCCCGGTGCTTTGCTGGGTTGGGTAAGTTTAATGGCCGTCTCCAGTTCCGTAGCGGATATAGGAGTTTCCATTAACGAGCTGGCATGTGGTGTGAGGGAGGGGATACCCGAGTCCTCGATATAGCTTTTTACACGTGATAAATGGGCTGAGGTACTCTGGGTGGTCGAAGGTTGGGGTATATTATAGAGGTTTTTATAATAGTCTACAAATGCGTCCGCAATATCCGCGGTAAGTGAGGATTTAACTCCCGCAGGTGTATTAATCGATGATATAAATGTTCGTGCCTGTTGTTTACGGACGGCCCTCGCTAGATATTTGCCACACTGGTTGCCATATTCATAAAAGGTTCGGCGACACTTGAGTAACGCTGATTTAGCCCTGGCATTGCATAGAGTTCGAAGCTGTTCTCTCGCTTGGAGTAGCTGGGTTTCTAAGTTTGCTTCAGGGTGGTTTTTATGGTGTGTTTCAAGTGTGTGTATCCGTGACAGGAGGGCAGTCATATCTCTCGTCCTCTGCTTTTTAACCTTAGAACCTTGGGCAATGAGAAGGCCGTGAACTGTGGCCTTATGCGCTTCCCAGATAACATAAGGTGAGGAGTCTGGAGACGTGTTGTCTCTAAAGAACAGGCAAAGGTCCCGTTCCAGGGAGTCAGCAAACCCGGATTCGAGGAGCAAGGAGTCGTTCATTCTCCATTGCCATGGGCCCGGAGGGGGGGTTCCTAGGTCCAGGAGGAGTGATATAGGGGCATGGTCAGAGACAGTAATATTCCCTATGTCCGAGTGATTTATCCTAGATAGTTGGCTGTGGTGGACGAGGAACAGGTCTATACGGGTGTAACTATGGTGTAGAGAAGAGAAGAAAGTATAGTCCCTCGTAGAGGGGTGTTGTAAGCGCCAGGCGTCCATGAGTTGGTGGGAGAAGAAGCATCTCTTAAGGCGTCTAAGGGTAGCGAAAGAGAGATGGGAGGAGGTCCTCGAAGAGTCTACACTCGGGTCTAAAATAAGATTAAAGTCGCCGCCTAAAATCAACATGCCCTCCCGAAACTCTGATAACTTGGTCAATGTACGCTCTATGAATGTGATTTGATGCCGGTTTGGTACATAGATGTTTGCGAATGTCAATACTTGGGTGCCAATGGTGCCCTTCAGGAACAAAACCCTGCCTTCCTCTCCCATATGCTGGTCCAATAGCGTCCATACGACGGTACGCGAAAAGAGAATACTGACTCTTCTGGATCGTTTGTCAGGTGAACCACTATGAAAGGCTAGCGGGTACCTGTTGGTCTCTATACGGGGTATATGATCGGTTTGGAAATGTGTCTCCTGAAGGAGCGCCACTCCGTCAGTTAACAAGGGAAGGGGGAGGAGTTCGGTGACGTCGATGTCCGTGACATCACCTGACTCCTCCCCCCTTCGTTAGCCGACGGAGCCACTTGGGCCGGTGAGTTTGCCCAAGAAACTTTCTGCACGAACGCCAGCCAAGGCATTGGTCTATACACATACAGCACAGCAATGAAGTAATAAAATAAACTAGGATCACAGTAATCCAGCACGTTATTACTCTGAGTGGGGCACATGAGATTAATAACGTGCTGGATTATTGTGATCCTAGTTCATTTTATGACTTCATTGCTGTGCTGTATGTGTATAGGCCAATGTAGTTGGATCTGTATGTGCGTTATAATTAATCGAAATTAATCAATTAATCGATTTAAAAAAATTCGATTAATCGAACACGAAAATTTTTATCATTACCAGCTCTAATATAAATAGCACAAATTTGTGTTGTATTTCCATTATACTTATTTAATCATATTTACACTCACTTGCCCGACAACACTGCTAGTTATAATTAGGGATGCACCGATACCAGGTACCGTACTCGGTAGAAGTACAAGTACAGATACTTTTCCAGCTCCAGGACTACACTCGAGAAGAATTCAAAAGTTAGGAGGCAGCTGTCATGTGTAAGGAGCACACGGAGCTCCCGGGATTTGTACATCTCTGTTTTATGTATGATTTTGTTTTTATGAATAGAAATAAAGGGATGCACCGATACCAGTTTTGCGAGTGCGAGTACTGATACATTTTTGTTTAGTGTCATGTGACAGTTTTTCTAAAACAATACAGACTGATAATTTCAGGACAATGGTGGAGCGCCAGAGCCCGGTCCCAGCTGCAACCGCTGCAACCCTGGTAGTTCTCATGGAAATGCCAAGTATCGGCACTGGTATCTGAAAAGTATCGGTGCATCCCTAGTAGTAATTTAAATAATAGCTTGAGTTTCCATTTATTTAGATCATTAACAACAACAACATCAATGTATTTCTTTCTTCATGGTCTCTACAAAGGTACCGTATTTTTCGCTCCATAAGACGCACTTTTTTCCCCCCAAAAGGAGGGGGAAAATGTGCCTGCGTCTTATGGAGCGAATCCCGATGCTCGAGACATGCATATATTATATGCATGTATATTGTATATTCATATCAATAAAAAATTGAATTTTAGATACATGTTGTTATTCAGTTCTTGGCACCTCGAAAGCCCCAGGTTATTACTCATGGTTTTTGTGGTCTAATTATTCAGGGGTGTGGTGCCATGCTTCTGCATTCTCATGCCCCCTGCTTTATCAAATCGCCATTGTTAGATGATGGATGGTAGAAAGGTTACATCGAATAAGTAACATTTTGCAACAGACCTCAACATTTTTGATAGTGGAGTCATTTGCGTTGTGGTTGAGCCAAAAATGGAGAAACATTTCCAGTGTTTCATTCACTTGGATAGGGTACTGTGTGTACTTTGTGTATCTATGTATTGATAATCTCATAAATGTACTAGAATTGTTATAAATAACTTTGACAAAAAAAACACAATATGGAGCTCTGGCCTCTACTGACTCAAGAATGTAAGCCTGTATTGTGTCATTTTGCATATAACCAAAGCTGAATGCTAGTGAGGTAATGCAAGACCTTGGGCACCTGCAATGACAAAGCAGTTCTAAAAACAATAAGGTGATATCAACTTACTTTAAGACCTATACACAAAAAAAAGGTGTAGGAAAATAATCATATGGATCTTTGCATTCGGAGAACAGTCAGCTATAATGAGACTTCCCTGGTCTTTTAGAACCTCTATGGAATATCTGCCAGAGTTTTTATCATCTCAGTCACTTGTTTCCACCATAGAATCGGATGAGATACAAGTGCCAGGAACTAAAGTCTTATCACTGTAGCATGTATCCCATTCTTGTACATTGACTTCAGGCATTTTGTCAGATCAGATATATGATAGAGTTCATGCAGTCTACATCATGCTTCTTCTGAATTTGGACAGAAATAAATTTTGTGTCTTTTCAGCTGTCAACTGCTGTTCCTTCTAGACAATAGCTGAGTATGTGTCCAAAGCCAAGTCATTAGACGGAGGAGGAAAAAAAGCTATTTGCACTTAATGACATTTCTGGGACAAACCAAATGACCTCCAGCTGTATCATACTGACTCATCATATATTTTGTCAAGAACAAATAGATAAGTTCAAAGAACAAAATCATGGAATGTGATGCCGGAACTGTAGTTGGTCTTCTTGTCATTTTTCTTGAGAGTCTTGTTGGGGTGATGTCCAGTAGCTTTGTAATAATTGTCATTAGTCTAGAGTTCATCAAACGACATCAAGTCATCTCCAGCAATAAGCTCCTCATTCCATTGTGCTTTTCCGCCACATGTTTCAGCATCATGCTAGCCACCAATAACATCATTGGTCTGGTCTCGCCTGAGAAGAGTCAGTTGGGTTATGTTATCTTCATCTTCTACATACTGAACATGTACAGTATCTCCTCCTGCTCCTGGTTGACCTCCTGTCTCTGCTTCTTCTACTTTATTAAAATTGCCAATTTCAGGTCTGGCTGTCTAGCTTGGACCAAGATGAAGATTGACAGTATAGTGTTATGGATGCTTGTGGTGGTGGAAGTACTGTCATTATGTGGACCTTTAATAAATTCTCTGATTTTTGTCTTTTCTGCTGAAACTACCATGAGCAGCAGCTCAATGATTAACAATATGACAGAAAGTATGGAGAAGACATCTAAATATCTTAACGTTATCTTTATTGTTAATATTGTGCCATTTATAGTCGTGATGATCACCACGGCATTGACCATTGTATCTCTCAACTTGCACGTTCGTAAAATGGGCAAAAAAATATCCAGCACTGCAAGCTTGGAGGTTCATCGAAGAGTGGTATGGACAATGATACAGCTCCTAATCGTGTACTCAGTCTTTTATTTAATCCTATTTCTCTTCTTTTTCTCAACATTCACCCAAATGGGTCTGGAGAACTGGTTGTACCTCATACTGATGTCCTTGTTCAGCCCAATACAGTCTGCAATTCTGATACACAGCAATCCCAAGTTTATGAAAACCTGGAAAACTCTGTACAAGTCTGCTTCTTGCATGAAATGTCATAGTGGGTAATGTTGTATGTACAGATAACAGATATTTTGTTTATCAATCATTATAGAGACCATCAAATATGTTTGAATGAGTTGATTTTTTTCCCTTTTTTAATTATATTTCTGTTAAAATCATTTAAATTTTCACTTCCAAATTATTTTGTGGTCTTTTGTGTAAAATGTGTGATGTTTCAATAAACATAATAAAGTGAACTATTTACTTGTATTCAGTAATAATTTTGACTGTGTGTTTCTAATGTGTAGTTTTGTCTTTCAATATTTACAAAATCTCTCAATTTTACAGAATCAGGCCTTATTCTAGTTTTGCATGGGTCTATCCAAATCTCATGTTGTTTACTAATTTGTATTGAGACTGAGATTAAAAAAACAATCATGTTTAAGTACTTTCCAATGTTTCTAAATTACCCATGGTCCCTGTGTGTGTTGTAAAGTAGCCACCGCTCCAAGCAACCGTGATGGACCACAATCTCAATACAAATTAGTAAACTCAACATGAGATTGTAGTCCATCCCGGGGGGAGCTTGGAGCGGTGACTACTCTACAACACACACAGGGATCATAGGGAACAAAAGTAGCCCCCCTCCAGAAGGAAGGACAGTGTCAGCACCAATGCAGAGATGATTGGAGGATCTACAGCCAAGTGATACACAAATAAGATACATTGTTCTTAATAGTTAAGGTACTTGAATGTAACTTTAAGATTTATCTCCTTTAATGTCACTTTAACACCATCTATATCAAATACATAGCAGTTGTGAAAGTACTGCCTTACCTTGTCACAATCTTGTTGCTATTTTTCTTAGTTGTAAAGCATTGCTTGTATATAGGCCTCATGAAGGTATGCACCCCAGAGCTTTAGGACAGCCATTTCCTGTAATGGCAACCAGTTGCTTCTGCTCTCTTTCCTTGTTAACACCTCCTTCTGGCCCCTCTAGTTCTGGCAAGGCAGCACTGAGATCCTTAAATATGTGCTGTCTGTAGTGCATCCCTCTTTCCAGTGACTGGATACCACTAGGAGATATGGTGATGTGACAGACACCATTTAAAAATGCTCTTTTCTAGCCTCAAAAATAGGGCACGGTGTTGAAAAAAAACACAGGACTTTTGGAGTTTGGTTGTACAGGAGGAGAGGGAGGTCTGAGTGGTAAAGATTGATTCATAATTAACCATTCATTTAAAATATCCTGAGGATGCTCACTTTTAAGTCATATTTTAAGCTAATACATTTTATTTGCTAAAACAAAAATCAAGAAAAGAGTATGGAGTTTGATCAGTCCACTCAAATTGGTAGTCAAGTTTTTTGAAGTGATATACTTTAGATTGTACCCCTTCTAGAGGCTGTGAACAAGCAGTGTGCACCTGCTGGGAGACAACACTATCAGTGAGAGATGCAGGCTAAGGACTGGCAACCAATAAAAAATGTTGCAGTTAAGGGGCGGGCAACAAAAAAAAAGGTTGCAGATCTCTCTCTCTCTCTCTCTCTCTCTCTCTCTCTCTCTCTCTCTCTCTCTCTCTCTCTCAACAATTACAAATCAATGTATGCTTGAAACATCCTTACGGGCAATGCCCATGTCTCAGAAAGTCCATTAGGCCACTACACCAATATATATTCATAAGATTCTATCAGCAATGCTACCCTATTCACTGCATGTATGGACACCATAAGTGTACCTTCAGCAAAGCATGTGGACAATACTGAGAGCTAGGGATGCACCAATATGTTTTTTCCAGTATCAATACCAAGTACCAATACCGGTGCTTCCGCTGTCATGGAATCAGCTTGCCGGGCAATCTGATTGCCCGAGAAGCTGGCTCCATGTTGTCTGGCTGGCTTTGGCCGACTCCATGCTAATTGACTGGGAAGCCAGTTTCCTGGCCAATCAGCATGAAGCCGGCTTCCCGGCCAATCAGGAAGCCAGGAGGTTAGTTATTTCTCACAGCCCAGCTTCCTGATCAAACAGGAAGCTGGTTCCATGTTCCCCTATGGCACTGCCGGTTAGAGAAAATCTTCCTCTGGCCGGAAGTTCCGGTATCGGGGAATGTATCAGAGCATTTAGGTGAGTATGAGTACTCACCCAAATACTCGGTATCGGCATACTGGCATCGGTGCATCCCTACTGGGTGTTGTGCCCATACAGACTCTGCTACCACGTTTTCATAGAGCACACTCACTTGAGCTGTAGTACACAATATAATGTGGCCTATAATGAGGGGCTAGTTCTCTCAGACCTCATTTAACTTATTGGCCCTTTTTCCTAAACAATAGACTGAAATACCCAAAGTAAGCTCATTTACTCAAGAGAAACATGAAAACTAGATGCTGAGTATTTTTGGTGGGATTGAAACCAAAACTGAGGCTGAAGGGGAGAATTGGCCTGGGGGTCATCAGTTATAACATGGATCGGCCGAAGCTACGGCCAGATCCTTCGGCAGCTTTGTGAATAGACCCCTGTATGTTGAAGTGGTGACTCTGAGCAGAGATTCTTCCCCATTCAGACATCATTCAAAGCAGAACCCGAAAGAGGGAAGACTTCCAAATCAAACGTTTGCTGCTCTGAGGTGTAACATGAGTGAATTCCAAGCTGGTTTGTTAGGATGTAGAAAGGTGTTGTGGCAGTGTGTGGCAATGCCACGGAGTATGCTGGCAACACGGTCACCCAGGACTCTCAGCCAGAGGGGCTGAGAGGTTCCAGAATGCAACTAGTTCTGCAGTGAAGAAACTGGCCTTTCAGTTCCTTCCAGTTTTTCCGGGTTGCAGCCGGGATCTGGATCTCTGGAGATTTCTTAGTGTTCTGGGTGGGATGAAATCTCCAGTCCTGGGGTCAGGTGTTGCCAGTCATCAGGGGCCTGAGAGCAGCTCATTAAGAGCTCAGGTGAGAGCTCAATGGGGGAGTAGTGCACTGGAGAGTGGGAGACTGTGCAGCTGATACTGGAGTCTGGCTGGAGAGTCCAAGAGGGCCTGTGGCACACGCGGTATGTGGGCGAGGCCAGGTGGGTCGAGCCAAGCCAGTGGTGTGGGGGGTGTACAGGGGCACACGACCGCAAGCAGACTCGCTGTGCATGCTGGACACAGGTGGAACAACCAGGGAGGTTGGGGAAGCTCAGTGACTGGCTAGAGAGAGGGACTTGCTGGATGACTGTGCTACTGTGCTGGGCTGCAGGACTGACATTCTAGGGAAGGGATTCACCCAGGTTTGGGACTTTTTACAACAAGTCAGTGAGACATCTTTGTTTTGTGCTGAAGATAAGCATATGTTTGTGTTTGCCATTTTGTATGCTGCCCTGCAAGAGCAAATGAAAAAAAACTTGTGTTTTTAAAAACCTGCTTTGCTAGTGCTCTGTGAGCTCCCCAACATCACAGTGTGTTATTATAAACCACGTCCTTTAAGAACACTCACTTTTTACCATGCCCGGCAATCCTTGTGGCACCACAGCACTCAGTATGGTACAATTTTGAGCCACAGCAAACTGTTTATGCCATCAAAGGGCCAGTTGATTGCGCTGCCTCATCCCCCGTAGAACCAAAGGTGACCAGTAATCCCTGTGAGGCAATTACTATAATCCGTCCATCTTCCTCCTTCTCTGGTAAACATACAAACTATCAAAAAATCCTCTCCTTGCTCATGTGGCAAATGTTACTGGTTTCTTTAAACATCCTGTGTATTGAATCTTATGTTTGGGGCTAATCTCCTTCATTATTTGCATGTAGGTTCATGTGTCTCCAGTAATGCAAATAGTGTTCCTCTAGAATTTCTCTACAAGGAAGGTCAAGTCATTAAGGAAGAATTGTTATACAAATAAGGTAAATAGAATCCGCTCCATGGAAATACACACACACAAGGTCAGCTATTACCTTCGGAAGGATCTTTCAAGGTAATCACCTAACCGCACTGTACGTATTTCATATCAGCTCCCAGTAGACATCCAACAGAAAAGGCTCCAAATTGTAAAGGAAAACATCCAGGGATGAGTCTTCATGGTGGAGCTGCAATGATTGTCACATGCGTGGCAGTGATAGTGCTTGAAGCCATTGTTGGAATCATTGCCAGCGTATATGTTGTTATCAATATCCTGTTTGATTTTTACAGAAGGAAAAATATGAGGACGGGCAATAAAATCCGGGTTGCACTTAGCATCTCCAACATGCTATTTTCCATCGTTACTTCAGCCTGCGTATTCAGCGGGTTCTTCTGGCAATCGATCTCGAACGCCACGTCTACCACTTACGTCCTGTTTGCCCTACTGATGTACACCATTACTTCCTGCTCGTGGCTTAGTGCTGGTCTAAGTTTCTTCTACTTTATAAAGATTGTACCTTTTGAGACTGGAATTTTTCTGTGGGTGAAGGTAAAGATTAGCTCTGTTGTTTCCTGGATAATTCTGGTATCCGAATTGGTATCTGTGGGGAGCTTCCTTATCATCCTCCTCACTACTGCCCAACAGGAATTTTTACAGGAGTCTTCGAACAGTACGGTGATGAACTTATCCATTAACACAGCATCAGAAAAGACAATGAAAACAAGATTCGCCTATATGATAATTGTTGTGACACTGGTACCATTACTGACTGTTATAATTACCAGCATCTGCACTGTTGTGGTCCTAAAGCAGCACAGACACAAAATGGAGAAGAACATGGGGCCTTCAGGAAATGTTAAACTCACCATTTACCGAAGCGCCACGTGCAGAATGCTACGCCTGTTGTTCTTTTACGTTATGTTTTATTTATTTACACTCTTGTTTTATATGTCAGAGTTTTCTGAGCTAAGCCCGGGATTTTGGATCTGCTGTATCGTCTTGTCATCCTTTACTGCAGTTCAGTCTATCCTCCTTGTCATTGGAAACCAAAAGCTGAAGGATACCTGGAAGGAATTATTTCATTGTATCTCTAAGCAAGCAAATTCCTCAAAGTAGGAATGGCTAAGTTACTGTTAGTGAGGACTGGATAGAAGTGTTAGCGAATGATCTGCATGAAAAATGGTAACATTGGTGTTGTTGGAGTG